AAAGAGTGAGAGTGTACCCTTTGGACAGGCTCAAAGCTTGTGTGCTCTTTTACCAACAGAGGTGGTCTAGTAAAAGGAAATGACCCTTATTTCATATTTCCTGGGATCAGCATGAGGCCTGTGAATACTAAACTCTTAATTACATCATTGGTAATTATTAGATTGTGAATTCAAAATGTAGGAGAGGACTATGCAAAGCATCTCAACTTCTCTTCCATTCCAGGTCAGAGCCTGATTTAGCTTCAAATGACTTCAGACTCTAAAAGGAATTTTCTGACTTCTAAAAGACCCTATACTGTAGGACAAACAGTCTTTCCCAAGCTTTGGGGCATATTAGATGATAAATTATTAAATTAGATTCCTGGTCTTTTTAGAAAAAGTACCAGATTGAGAATAACAATTTTAAAACAACAAAAAGAATACTTCCACAGGGAACAATGGCAAATGTGCCAATGAGTCAATAGTGAGGGGATGTGCAAATTCCACTGTTTATTTTAGAACAAGCTGTTTAATTAATGAATTAATATTGTTAAATCAATGGCCAAAATTCACAGATGCTACTTTGGAAGCTAAATTGCCACAGTTAAAAAATCACAATAGAAATTATATTTACACATGAGTCGCACAACTCAGTATGCAACAAAAATGTTTATGGTTGTTTCTTAAGGCAATTTGCCTCTAAAATATATGTTGTTTGTGTTAACCCAGTGTAATTAGACAAGACTGTTTGGGCCACTGGGTTAATTTTTTAAAAAATTAAAAGTGCAAAATTAACCTTCTGATTTTTAACATTTAACACTATCAAATTAATTTTCAAACTTAACGTGCCAAATCTTGGTGTTTTACCACTGTAACTTCATAACAGTATACAGTATATTATAAATAAACATTCATCAAAGTTATTTTTAAATAGTTATTTTTAACAACAGTCTTTATTGCGTAAATACAAATATTAGGATATCATTTCAATGTATAGATGGCCAAATTCAAGATATTTTACAATTTTATTGGTCATTAATTATACATTTGACTTTTTATTTTTGGCATTCTGTAGACATTTAAGCTTAGAATTTTTGTTTTTGCAAATTTAGCTTTATATCCCGAAATCTTACCAAATTTTAAGAGGTTACATAGTAAAACATTCTTATTGCCTGATGTTCTCTCAGAGTAGAACATTTCTCAAAACCCTTGAGAGGGTTTGATTTTCTGTTCTAATACAGTGGTGCCTCGCATAATGATGTTAATTGGTTCCATTAAAAACATCGTTATGTGAAAACATCGTTAAGCGAAACACCATTTCCCATAGGAATGCATTGAAAACCGGTTAATCCGTTCCAATAGGAGCCTATTCAATACATTTCGATGGTGAAAAAAAATCACCAAAAATTCAAAAAGACTCAGAATGAAGCCAAATTACTTTAACGAAGGTTTTATTAGGTGCACTAACGATTCCAAGCATTTTAAACATTTTTAAACATTTTAGAATATTTTTAAAATAGCGAAAACAGGGCTGTCAACAAAAAGTTAAGCGAAACAGGGGGCCTAAAACTGTCATTGTTAAGTGAAGCAAGGTCCCAAACATCGTTATGTGAAAATCCCCCATAGGAAACATCGTTAGGTGAGGCGGCAAAATTTCCAGCAAAGGCCATCGTCATGCGAATTCATCGTTGAGCGAGGCACTCGTTAAGTGAGGCACCACTGTACTTTGTTGCTACTTTCAGCCCAGTACAGAAATGCTTCTTTGGTAACAAATTCAGTATGCTGCTATTAAGATTGTAAAATGTCACCTGTCACCTATACCTCCAGATCTATTTTGTTGGCCTTTTCAAAAACAGCATGAGTTTGAACAGAGTCCATTCTGTAATCCTGTTTGTTTTGTTAGACATGTTTGTTGAGTCAGTTACCATTGAGCCAATTATCCAAACGGAATTGGCAGCTTTCCCAAAACAAATACCAAAGCTGCAGTCTTGACTTCCTTTTCCTCTCCTGGCATTGCTATTCATGTGTTTTTCTTAGAGAATGGAATTCATGGGAAGGGCAAATGGAAGGCTCTTCTCTGCAGAGGATGTTTAAAAACAGAAACTTTCAGATTTGTAGTATGAATCTTGTATACTTTGAACTGTCTTCAGTGCCAATTTTATTTAGTATCCTTTCTCTAGCAAATGCACACCAGTGATACCTCTAGCTTCTTTCAGAATAGACTGCTTATCTGTTTTGTTGACTCATGTCAGCATGGTCATTTTACTTGGGATTTGTTTTTTACTCTGGTGATCTCTTTTTTTGTTTCTAGGAAGGTTAAATGTATAGTTCATGAAGGGCCCGGAATACATCCATTTTAATTTCTGTAGGCCTTGCCCTGTGATTAAGCCACCATGTGTGTCTGAAATAAAATACTTGTTTTATACTCCTGATAACAACAGATTCAGTGTTGGATGGGACAACCCTGCCATTCAGCAACAGCACTAGTAGGCCCAAGGACAAGTGGGGAAAACAGTCAGAAATCTTCCAGTTGAGGCAATGGCCAGAAGAGAGAATTGATGCAAAATGTTTCCTTGCTCTTCTCCTTAACTCACTGGTACATCTTTCCCTACAGACTATTGTAGAAGAACCCATTTCCCTCCAAAGGATCGCCAGATCACCCAGGCATTAGATGTTCATATGTAATATCTATGAAAAAGAGACAGGGAAACACTCTCAACATTCTTTTACAGTAATTATGTTTTAGATCATTTTTAGATTATGTTTTAGATGTCATCAAAGCTACCAACATGAATTTGACCAAACTCTGGGAGGCAGTGGAAGACAGGAGAGCCTGGCGTGCTCTGGTCCATGGGGTCATGAAAGAATTGGACACGACTTAATGACTAAATAAGAACAACAATGTTTTAGATCACTCATCAGTGATCCCAGTTATCTTTTGGTTGTGACGGCAAAGGGAGACAAGGCCAGGAATGGTTATTCCTGGCTTCTTGGTATTCCTTGCTATTGGTTTCTCAGCTTCTACTGATTCTTCAGGCCCTAGGCTTAGATCTTGTCCTTTGCTCATATCCCTCTGCCAAGAGCTTTTGTTTCCTTTTCATTAGAAAATATGAGCTTTGATAGTAGTGTGAAAGATAAGAACCCAGATAGTGACTGGAGTTTGGAACTTCATTGCTGTCAAAATTATATTTGCAAAAGAGGAACGGTAGGCATTGAATGCTATAACCCAACACTTAAAATGTAAGGGGGGAAATGAAGTTATCTCGCCAAAATAATTTTCTAATTATTATTTTTCTATATAGGTTTCTAATTATTATTTTACTCTGCAAGAATTCTCATAAACAGAGATCTTAATTTACATCCACCTCAGATTTAACTGAAAGATGGCTATGTATACATACTACCCTAGCAAATCACGTTGTTCTTCAGATTGCTACACTGAGTTTACAAATATGCCAGTTTATCTGCAAATAAAATGTTTCAGAATTAGAAATGAAATTGTCTGAGGAGGGTTTGGTCTTTAATTAAGCCTTTTGTTGGCATAGCTGAACTTGAATTTGTATCCTCAGGATTACTTCAGATGTCACTTTTGCTGCATATGCATTTTAAGCTATGTGTGTGAAAAGTAGGCTCAAACATTATTAATCTCGTATATGGAAAGCACAAGGTGTAAGAACATTGTGCATATGGTCACATGATAAATGTTTACATATCTGTGGATGTACTGGGGTCTCAGTTTGGCTGTTGCTCTGTCTCTGTATTTATGCCACTTGTGTGATCATTGCTCTTTGCTACTTCTGGACATTTATGGTAATATGGTGAAAATATTTTAAGAGTAAAATTTCAGTATGTAACCAATCCACACTTTGGAACTGCTGTAAGCTGAAGTGATTTAGAGTATCTTCCATATTGTAGACAAGCAATGCAAGCTATCAACATGATTTCCCCCCCACCCCGTTTTCTTTTCTTTTCTTTTTCATTTCCATCTGTCAGTTTGTGAGCTGTGTTCTCCTCCGCTGCCTCATTTTGAGATTCAGGGAGATTTAAGTTGTTCAGTTGTTTGCAAGACATATGCTTTGTATAATATGAGTAAGATTGCAGTGGATACACCTTCTTTAAATCTAATAATTTGATTAATATTTACTGGTGATTTTTAGAGGTCCTCAGACAATTAAGTAGCCTAATGCTGAAAATCTTGTATCTCATTTGCTGAAGCTCTCTTAAGCCTGTTTCTTTATTCCTAAGCAAATTCAAAGGTATGTACAGAGTTGTGTGTGAACCCATCACTATCTTATCTGACATCAGATATCTAAAGTACTAAGAACACATAGACAAATGTTTTACGTTTGGATGACTAGCCGATATGAGTCCAGTAGCATATTGGAACAATAAAAATGTCTTACAATTGTGTGGTTGCCTAAAGCTTGTAATCCAGACATACACTGACCGGAATCTTATTGTAATATTTTATTTGTATAAGATTTACATAACTTGCCATGGTTAATTACATCTAATTAATAAGATTCTGCAGAGTATTTTATTTACATAATGGAGTGTATGATGAAGCTTGTGACCAAGGCACATCCTCGTACCTCATCAGTTAGCTGCAAGTTAATGCAGCAAGTTATGCAGACCTGAGTGAACACACCAATAAACTTCTGGCCATTAAGAAGATGATGTATGAGCGTACAAGATTTAAGAACATGTCGACAAAACTAATTGTCCATAACCATCCTCATTCAATGCAATAGTAAAGAATTCCTTTGGTGATCCCAGACCTTTCCAATCTTAAAGCCTCAGTTCAGATTAGATTCTGTGAGAGTTTCTAGAAATTGTGCATTTTAAAAAACATTTTCAGTGTGTGCAGAAATTGACTACCTTCAGTGGGGATTGGTCTGATCATACAGCAGGTATTGAAAATATTCCCATCAGGTTTTGATATTCATTATTACCATAAGCAACACAGCTTGCAGGCCTTACATAGAGATTAGTTCAAATCCCTAATCTCTTTTATATGGCAGGGCCTTAAACTCTGGGGTTGAATACTACTGGGACCAGCTGAATGAGACCGTCTTCACTGTGCATTCCAACAGCAGGAGCACCGAGCGGCCTGGGTAAGTCTCTTGGACAATGAATGTAGAGGCAACCAGTCATAGTTGGAACATATACTGTACTGTATGCATATTTGTACTGAATTAACAACAGCTATCACTGTGTTTTCCTCTAATCTCCTTTTATGATGGGAGTACTGAGTTAAAGGTCCGTTTCTCCCCTTAGCATTTAGCTAACGCCAGGTGGTATAGTACAAGTGACAATATTTGGTCAATTCATTAATGCAGGTTGAAATGCGAAAATGAATCTCAGTTACAGTGCTTCCCGTTGTCAGTACCCATTATTGGAACACAGTGTGCACTCTATATGAAAATATAACAGGAAATTAAGATAAGGTAGTGTAATGGCAGAGAAATGGGAGAGTTCAAACCTTTAACAATTCAGGGATCTAGCAATCCTAGTTTCAGAGGGAGTAAGATTAATGGCAATATATTTATTCCCAATTAGATACTGTAGTCAGATAGAAATGAAGAGGTTAACTAAATGAAAAAAAATTATTTAGAAAGTATTTAGTTAACCTCTTCATTTCTATGAAGATGCTAGTGGGTTGTCTGATGAAATGACTCTCTGCTTGTCCTTCAGCTTGTTAATGTATTGTTTGTGTCTGTCTTCAGAACCAGCAGAGCCACATGGAGGACAGACAGGGACATGGGACTAATGAATGCCATAGGCCTGCAGCCACGGAACCCAACCACTTCTGTGACATCACAGGGCACTCAGACTCTGGCTCCTCAGCTGCAGAATGCAGAGACACAAACTGAGAGGGAAGTTCAAGAGCCTGGTGGTTCTGCCTCAGGAACTACAGAAGGTGAGACAATAACTGTCAAATTGTATCACCTGCTATACCGGCTAAGAGAATCACTAAGACTATCACTTCTGATGTGGTATTCTTACAAGGGAGCTGTATCTGCACATAGAAGCTGCTTATAACATTTCTACTTCTAGTTACTTTTATTTTCTGTTCCTTTTAGTCTTTATACCATTCAGGAATAATGTCTAGAAAGGATTGACCCTTTGCTTTAAAGGTTGGAGCAACTGCTAGCCCTTAGAGCCTTCCTGATTGTTCATCTCTCCTCCACAGTGTTTATGCTTTTCAAAGCCTCCTACTTTCTTGACCAGGCTTTAGGCAAACTATTGCAAACTTTTTGTTTTTAACATTCGTATCACCAAGATATTTTCTGAAAATAATTAATCAAGTCTGCTGTTTTAATATTCCAGTTTCTGTTGCCTCTTGTTGTATATCAACACTGTGTGCTGCTGGCAGAAATTCCATTTCAATTTTTATATGTTGTGTTGCCTTCCGTCTATGTTTCATTCTCAGTGCTTTGCTGTGTGTAAAAATGTCTTTATCTGATTGAATCCCACTGTTAGCTATATTTTAGATAGATAACCTGCTTTAGAAATGCAAAGGGGGCGGATATGCTTGCACACATATGTTTATGTGCAGATATAGTGAAATCATGGTTTATTTCCCCCATATTCCTCTCCAAGAAGATGTAAGCGGCAGATTTGATTGCTTTTTGTTTCCCCACTTTTGGATCTCCCCCCCCCCCATTGACCATTAATGTTGCACTATAATGCATGAAAGGCAGAGACAGAATATCCACGTGTGAGGAGGATAGTATCACCAAGTGGCTAGTTACCTGGCTTATGAATTAACTCCTGCCAAAATAAATTAGCAGGTGACTGTATGAAGAAGTGTGCCAGATGCTCATGATCATGGCCAGAGCATTAAATGTGAAGACCAGAAAGTCTTAGTTGATGCAGATATCAGCAAAAATTAGGAAGAAGATTAAAATCTGTGTCTAGACCTATTATACAAAAATATTTTTAGGCTGCTGAGATTAGTTGATTTCTGATAATACAAACAGAAATAGGATGGTTGAATCTTCTCTAGCTTATACTCAGAAAATGGCTCAATAGATTTTTTTTAACCTGGTAGCAGTATAGAAGAAGCCTGTATGACAAATTTTAGATAAAATTGTGAAGAAATTGTTTAAATATCGGAGTTTAATATTTGAGACTTAAAATCTACCAGTTTGGCAGGCATTGTACAGTGGTGCCTCACTTAGTGATGTTAATTCGTTCCGAAAAAATCGCTGAAATGCATTGAAAACCAGATAATCCGTTCCAATAGGAACGAATTGCCGTCCTTAAGCGAAAATCGTCATAGGAAACATGACTAAGCGAAACGCGGTTCCCCAATTGAAATGCATTGAAACCTATTCAGTGCATCTCAATGGGGGGAAAATACAACAACAAATTAAAAAAGAGTCAGAACAAAGTCAATTTTGACTTTATGATTTCAAACATTTTAAACAGTAAACTTTAACTTTATATATAATAGAAAAACATTTAAAAGACAGCAAACATGAGGCTGTTTAAACCATTGTTAAGCGAAACAGGGGACCCAGAATTTGATCGCTATGCGAAGCATGGTCCCAACCATTGCTAAGCGAAAATCGCCCATAGGGACCATCGCTAAACGAAGTGCAAAAACGCTCCAAAAAGTCATTGCTAAGCTATTTCATCACTAAACGGAGCGCCCGTTAAGCGAGGCACCACTGTATTTTTCACTTTTAAATACACTTTACTGAGGTTACATTTGTCAGTTTATTTGACCATTCATGCAGTGTCTTTCAGGAATCAGTTTGCTGTATTACGTCAGGGAGAAGATTTGTAATTCTTATTTGAAGGGTTTTTTTTCCTTTTCAGTTTAGGCAACAGAGCTTGTTAGGTTGGAACCATACATTCTTAGAACATCTTGCCTATCTACTGAACCTTCTGTGGGAGAGGCCAGAAAAGAAATAGTACAAAATGACAGCTGGTATTACCGGGAACCAGGGAGGCAAGAGAGAGCAGAGGGAGCCAAATCTAGTCTACATCACAAAAAGAAGACAGATTTCAGAAGAAATCTAAAAATTCCCCTCCCCATCTCCAGCAAGGAGCAGAAAAGATTTCCAAAATAAAATGATAAATATTACTTTTGAATAGTTTAAGTCATTTATTCTGTAAAAATTTTAATGCTAGGTTTCTTATTCATGCTAAGTAATTTGAACTGGTTGGGTATTTTTTATACAGAATGGTTGCATCTGTTGCATGAAAGTTTCATTTGTTTAAACTCTGTGTACCAGTTGCATTGAACAAATAAATCTGTCAGTTCAGTCCAGTGTTCTGCCTCCAGCTCCAACTTAATGCTGAAACTAGCCACAGAAAGGATTCCATATCCATGTTCTTAAATAGCATTTATAATACCGGTTCCATGCCAGGAACACACAGACTTGCAGACCCTGGTAGGAGCTGTGTTACCCTTGGCCTCTGAGGCATTGTGACATTTTCTTTAAACCTGAACATGGAAATCTGTTGTATTAAATTTCATGTACAACATTAAGTACCACAATTTACATTGAAAAATAGAGGAAATGTTTATAAATAGAGATACCCCGGAAAATTCAAATTTTCATCTCCAAATGCTCCTTGGTTATATTGCGGGAATTGTCAAGAGTAGCATACTGTAGGTACTGAGGTTTGCAACTAAAAGTTTGGAAACAACTTGACCAATGTATGTGCTAGATCCGAGCGTTCAAGAGTTTTGGCACCAGCCTTTCCTACTCCTAGTATTTTCCTTCCCAAAATGTACCCTATTTTCAGAGTAGAGATTAACAGTAGCAAAGAAAAATTGAATGATGTGTCAGTACCAGTATCGAAGCCTCATATTTTAATACTTAAATGCCAGCAGTTCCTTCTAAACATGGTATGATCGCTTCTGAGATCTAGAATGTTTAGCATGTTCCACCTTAAACCATTATTCAGGAAAGCACAGGAAAACCTTATTTCTTAGGCTCCCTAGAAAGACACGGACTTTGCCAAAGATTTGTCAAGAAATCTTAGAAAAACTTTACGAATTGAAGCAGTGCCCAGGTTGTCTGATGGTGCCAATTGTTGTTGTTTTAAAGAAGCAATATTCTTTGCCAGTCAAATAATATGGTTGGAATTCAAAACTGCTGCAGTATGGAGCCTTTGAAACTGATTGAATTTGTTGTGAGAATAAACATTCCCTTCAGTATTTCCCCAGGAGGTTTTGTGAATTAATTAGTATTTGTAAAGAGTTTTGTCGATGTAAATCATTAAGAGACTGAGTACAGTATTCTGATGGCATTCAGCAGGACAACAAAGCATATTACTCTGGGAAGTGTACACTGACTGCAGGGCCCTGCAGAGACTGTCTTCCTCAGAGGCTCTGCTCCTTGTTTTGGAAAGATGATAATGTGAGTAAACTTATTAAAAGTGAATCCTTCTAGTGCAGATGTTTCCTTTTTTGTCAGTTAATTGCTGTCTTGTGTACTCTATAGCTTATGAAGCTTACATCAATCAAAGTAATGTAAGTTTAGGCAGAATATTAGGAGAATGGAATAAATGTTAGGCTCAAAGATCTATTGCTGCTTTAAAAAATTAACAGCATAGGGCACAACACAACCAAGAGCTAGACATTTTCAAATGCCACTGATTTTAGTAAGAAAAGTATAAGTGCGTGATCAGTTGGTTGTTGTAGGTTTTTCAGGCTGATTGGTCATGTCCTGGAGGTTTTCTTTCCTAATGTTTCGCCAGTCTCTGTGGCTAGCATCTTCAGAGAACAGGAGTTAGAACTCTGTGTTCTGTTGTAGTGTGTGGTATAGTTGAGTATTTGTAGCTGTGGGTTCAGCTTTTTGTCCTTTTCAGGATATTGGGTGATTATGATAATCAGTTCTTTCAGTCAAAGACATACATGCAGAAGTGTTTAACTTTGGCCAGATCGTGTCCCTCTTACTTTCTGTTTATCAATACTGATAAGCTGTAAGACCATCAAAATAAAGTATGAAGACACTGACAGAACAGTTGAAGGGAGCTTATCTTGTTACTGATCCTTAGGAAGCTCCAAAGCCTTTGAATTTACAATGAGAGAAAAAAATGTTTTTGAGCTGTAGTGGTTAAAATGCAGTCCTTCAGTGTGGACTCTGCTCAAGACCTGAGTTTGAGCTGAGGTTTCTGGATGTTCTAGTCCAAGAACACCTGGTTTACCCAAGGTTGGGGATCACTGCCCTATCTTCAGCCACTAAGTTCCTCTCCTTCCTGTACTCCCTTTCTCATTTCCCATTTCTTCGGTGGTTATTCCATGCCAAGCAAAATTGATTGAAACTGGTAGCACATACTGATACTACGCTGCAAGAGATGTTATTGGTCTACTTGTGTATATAGCCAATGGGAATTTGGGGAGGAGAACTTTGGGAAGCGGAAAGTAACCTTGATACATTGAAGATATATCCTTTAAAATTATTTCAGTTCTTAAGATGTTGGTTGTGGTCAGCTTAAAAGACTTTATACGCCCATACTCTGAATGACATCCACCTAGAGCAAAAAGCAAAAGCAGCTCAGTTGTTTCAAAGATAGATTTTCTCTGGGGTGCTTGATGCACAAGTGAAAGGACAACAGCTACGTTCTGCTGTACATTGTTCCTGCTTGCATATCACCCAGTCCTTTCGTTTTCTTCAGCTGCGTCTTTGGTTTTCTTAATTTTTAGTTTTTGTATTGTGAAACATCTGCTTTTTTTTCCTGCCTGGCCATGTCACTTTCAAAGTTTCTTTATTGAACTGAACAATGATTAAATAGTTATATACTGTAAGAGCATATAGCAAAATCTAGTTTCAGTACTTTTTTAGAGATAAGTATCAAGGATATACTTAATTGCCATTATCTTTTGTTGTTTAAAGGATTAAAAAAATAGAGAATAAATGTTTTTTATATAGGACATTCAAAAATTTCCTAATTATC